CATCATTATCCTCTTGAAGCATTTACAGTTGTATAAGTAATAAGTTGAAGTATTCATTTTCTTAATGATTTCATCAGTCTCACTTTTTGGGGGGAATTTTGGCCCACTCCGCTGTACAGTGTTGCTGCATTTCATTGAGGTTTGCAGGCATTTGTTTATGCACCACTCTCTTTAGGTCCCACCTCAGCATTTCAATCAGATTCCTGTCTTGACAGTGTCATTGCAACTCCTTGATTCTTTTCCTTTTCAGCAATTCTGTTGTAGATTTGGCTGCTGTGCTTTGGATTGTTGACCCATTGAAATGGTTTAGGCCCTGGTCCCGTGGCTGCTAACAAGCATAGATCATCAGCTGTCCATGAGGTGTATCCTCTGATATGCTCTTTTAGGTTTTCTTTGAATGTGGCGCTGTGCATTAAGGCCAAATATCTCTGCTTTGGTCTCAGTCCAAAAGACAATATTCATTAAAATCTTGTGGTTTGTTCAGATGCAAATGCACTCCTGAGTAGTGCTGCCACATTCCTTCTGCCAGCCCTGCAAAGCAGAGCTTCTCTTTTCAGTCGTTTTCTATTTGTATTGTCATGAGCGTTAACCTTTCACATGCTAACTGAGGCCTGTAGACTCTCAGATGAGCTCTTGGGTTTTTTGCAGCTCCTAAGCACTACACAGTCTGACCTTGGGGTGAATCATCTGGGACATCCACTACTGGGAAGATTGTGGCTCTGTGTTAACACACATATGAATGCATCAGACCTGAAAACTGCCCAAACTTCTGCTTTTAAAGAAGTATTTTCGCCTGCTGATGATCAGTTAATCAAGTGCATTTGATTAGCAGCACGTGGCTGCTACTTACCCTCTTCATTCCTAAAGCAGTAAGGGTGTACTTAGTTTATCACAGGACTGTATCTCGATGGGTAATCCCCTCATCCACAGAGCACAAGGAGGTCCATGGGCACCAGATCTCAGCCTAGCTAAACAGCCACAGATATTATTTACCAACGTTTTAGGCAGCATTCTCCACCAGCAGCATCGAAACACCAATAGAGGGAATATTTCTCAGCAAACTGCAGCTCTTTTCTTCCAGTACATTTCCAGGGACTTGCATAATCAATGCCAACATGCACTGCAGCTGTTCTAGCAGCATGTGGTTGCACAACAGCATAAAAAAAACTTCATGCTTTCTGGAATCTGTTATGTCTTTATTTGGATGATTGACTGTTTCTAAGAAATCACACCTATGCGTGATCAGTCATAAAAAATAGCAGTATGACACGTGAATTTAGGCCTCAATATAACACAGGGTCTTGCAAAATTGTCCACAAACAATGTATCTGCCTGGAAAACGTCTGCTGGGAAGTGCTGAGAAGTTTTTCAGCAGGAGGGAAAAAGCCCAGGCTTTAGCTAGTTTGCAGAAATGCATTGCCAGCATTTTTTCTTTTACATCAAAACAAGCCATGAAAATGCCAAAACCAAAATTTGTCACATGCGAGATAAGAAGTTTCTCTGTTGGAAAGAAGTGTTATTAAGCAGGAATGGAGAATAAAGCTGCCGTTCCAACTGCAGCAAAGCATGCTTCATGTCCTGCCAGTCTTGGAATACAAGTATAAATGTTTTCGAGTTTTCCAGGATCCTTCTCAAACACACATACCTGCAGATCTTTATTTAGGGGTTTAAATTTACTGGTGCTTCTCTGAGACTCGTGGGACTGAGACTTCATATTTTCAGTACTGATTCACGTGTTCTAGTTTCTCTTCAGATTGAATAATGGACCACGGTGAGGGGGAGGCAGTGTCCTGTTTCAGTTCTTTCATGTCAGCTCAGGACTGGCCGGGAACACAAGGCCTTTTCAGGGACAAAGAAAAGTGGGAAAATAGAGATGAATGCGGGAACAGAGAGCTACTCAGAGAGAAGGAGGCAAGCAAGAGGGGAGAGGGGAGACGCAAAGGCAGTCCCAAAGGCAGAGAAGAAGCAGCTGGCTCGGAGGTGTGTGCGTCCTATTTTTAGTTTCCCCCATGCACATCTCAAACTCCACACAGCTGCTGGAGCATTTGCACACGAATAAAAAACAAAAACTTCAGCACACCTCCTGCACATCCACGCAACAGGAAGACTCGAACTTCAGCCCGGCTCAGGTGTTTCAGCTGTTACTGGCTTAGAGCTTAAAATCCCGCCAGCATCACCCGATTTGCGCTTCTGTTAAGTTTAAGACGCGAACACAAAGGTGGGGTGCAGGGTAGAGTCACATGACCCAGAGAGCGCGGCTGATACATACAGCCTGCAGCCTGAGAAGCAAGACAGCCGTAAATAGCCTGTGTCCCATGTGAGTAATGTATGGAGGGCCATGACAGGCTGAGAAAACAGCCAAAGGGGGTCATTAATGACAGAAGTCGCTGGGATGTCACTCAGGGATATCAATAGTGTATTTGTTGTGTCCCCTGCATGTACAAAATATAACACAAGAGAACATTTCATTGATGAAATGCTGTAGGATATCTAAAATTTCCACCTTAATAACGGCTTCAGACTAAGTCAAAAACTATTTGCGTAGTTCCCAGCAGAATGAGTGCATGTTCATTTCAAAAATAAAGCAAAACATCCCTGAGCAGAGCCTCGTTTTGACAGTGATTGAAACAATGTCAGAGCAGCAGTAATAAGCCCGCTCATACGTAGGTAAGAGAGCAACTTAGTGCGCTACCCAGAAGTAAGAAAAGAGGTTGTTTCATTTATTTATCAAATGTAAAATATTTATAGGATTCAACTCTGCTGGTAGAGGAAGACCAGACAGAACAAACTGTGGAAGGAACTGTTGTGAAGTTGCTTTGCAGATGGATGTTAAAAATAAAATAATAAAAAAAAAACATCTGGTGGAGGGCTGCCTGCTGTTCTGCATACATTTGCGTCCTAAATTACATTTCTGGGCTTTCAAGCAGTCACGTCTGAGTCAGTCCCAGACCGAGAGTGACAACGCACTGCGGGCCAAAAACATCTCACTCTTTTGTCAGTGGACTTTCTCTCTCAGACAACTGAAGGGAGCAACTGAATAAAAGAAGGAGGATGTGTCTGTGTGCCATACACAGAAACGCAGACTACAAAAACTACAGATATTCTGGTTGAGCCAGTCTGACTGGAGTACTGTGTTTTTCCTCCAAACACAGCCGGCGGCCTCATCTCACATCTCACATGTTACTCCGTGGGAAAAAGAGCCGGTTCCCGCCCTGTCCGTGGATCTTTCATTAAAGAGTGGAAAAACAGCAAAAAAAATAAGTCATCAAATCAGCACCTGAGAACTGCCGCAGCTAAGAGAGCCACTAGGTTTGGGGTGGAGGATTAGTTCCCCTCTGAAAGGAAGAAGTTGATTATGTGGCTGTGACGCACCTAAAGTGCTGTTCGATTTGTGGCTAATCCTTACCGAACTGCTGCGCGAGGATTACGCAGTTTCACCGGTGCCTTGTTTCGAGTGAAACTGCTGAAACACATCCTCGTGCATTTGGAAGTACATCTGCACACGTACCACACCGAAATGATCAAACACAGCGGCAGACAGAGGAGGAGAAAGAGGCCTGAAAGAAAGAAACAAAAAAAGAAGTCGAGGGGGTGAAGGCAATGCTGAGGCAGATCACACTCAATGAGTTAGCAGCGCTCTCTGAACAAGACAGCTTTTTAAATAAAACATGAAAGCTGGAGAAGAAGTCACTACTTTATATACAGCAACTCGTGGCAAGCCATGATATTCTGAGAGACAGGGCAGCCAGCTCAGAGCTCTCCCCGGGGGAGATCCTTCAACTCTCCATCAGATAGACTATATATCAGAACCATCAGACATGATCCCCACTCCTGCAACATGCAAGGCTCCACAGTGGAGGCCAGACTGATCGTCGGCTGTAAGGAGCTGATAAGCACTTATGTACTGACTCCCTCTGAACAACTAAACAAACACACTCCCTCCTCTATCTTTCAAAGGATTACAGGAGATCAATCACTCACACGCGAGAGTGTTACAGTCATCAGGAGGTTACGTTTCAGTCCAGTAAGGAAAAAAAGACCTAAAAATAAACTAAAATCAAGTGCAGTTCGGCCCCCTTCATGTCTACAATTATGAGGTTCTTAGGAGGACGGCCCTGTATCAACACTGAGGTGAGCATGTAAATAAGTCATGGCTAATCTCTCCCCCTCACTTTCTCCTCTTCTCTCTCTCTCTGTAAAAGCCATATGTACGTTTTTAGAATTCCCCGAGTTCTGCTGACGTGAGGAAAGAGATGAAAGATTCATGTTTGTTTAAAAAATTCAAACTGATGTCCTGAACTTTCAGTACACAACCCACGCGGGTGAATTATTTAACACTTTGATGCAAGAAAGGGAATTTGGGGTTTGGGCTGTGCTGCTGTAATCCGAGCAACAATTAAAAGTCGTGCGACATGTTAACTGTGAACTGCTTCAAATGCCTTTTGGCAAAATTGTGGTGGAGGAAAGGAGTGCCGGTGAATGTCAGGTACGCTTGATATTCCCTTTACTCAACTCAAACTGATGTGCACTGCTGTGGCGCTTTATAAACTGCTGCGGAGTGCGGTGAGTGTATGCACCAGCAGAGGGAGCCAAAGTCACACGACTGCGCTGTAAACGATGCCCAAAATTCCCCGTTTCATACATGTTTTAGTCAATAAAGATGGGCATGCTCAGACGGTTCATTTGAAGGGAAAAATAATTAAAAGCTTCAATGTCTGCCATGTTTAATTTTAGTGTTTTTAAGGATTTGTTTGAGACTATGCGAAACATATACAGTTAAAAAATAAATAAATAAATATTTTTTTAAATGTAGGAATTGCAAAAAAACGTTTGTCTTACAGGAGATTTGATTTTAAACGTCCATTTTAACCCTTTGCATGACATCACCTTGAAATATTCCGTGTCATTACCCTGAACGGTGTAGCCGAGCTGATCAGCTGTAAAGGGTTAAACTTAGTCATGACACTGAAACCCGAGACAGTTCCTGATGGATGCGCCCGAAGGCGGCTGGGACATTTTAAGGAGTTTGCTTTGAGTAGAATTCTTCCAGGTGCGTTTTTTTTTTAATGTCGTCATGATATTTGGCACGGGTTTAAGGTAAAGCTGATGCGCCCTTTGTGCCCCGTGCTCGGCGCACAGCGTCTCGACGACAGCGGGGAAGAAGTTACGCATTTCCAAATAGTCGAAGTTTACGGATTGTCCCTCTGATTGGCAGGAAGCAAACGTGTAAGTACCACGTGTGTTGCTGTTTTTGTTGTTCTTTGAGGGTTTTTCTTGTAAACAAATATGGAAGAACTGCGTTATTTCCTGGTTCTGTCGTACCTGTGGAGTCAGGTGAGCCGACATGACACCTGTGTAAAGCACCGCGGGCGAGCAGCTACGCGTGGGGCGCTCTATTAGGTTGTAGTTCGACCTTATCAAAGCTGTCTGGAGGTATGTGGTGGGACGTGGAGTTCTACTGGCTGTCATGTGCGAGGACTTTGGTCACTCGTGTTGTAACTGCTTCACTGTGTTGTGGCAGTAACTTATTCCACTACATCAGCTTTTCATTCCTTTCTGTGTTTCTGTCTCAGAATGGTGGATTACAGTGTTTCCGATGTACCAGAAGCCCTATTCTCAAACAACAGTTTTAAAATGGAGGAGCTGGCTCTAATGGCCTTGCTGGAGTGCCCTCTGTGTCTGGAGAAGCTGGATGCGTCAGCCAAGGTCCTTCCCTGCCAGCACACTTTCTGCCTGCCTTGCCTGCAGAGGCACGAGGCTGACCAGTACCAGCTATTTTGCCCTGAGTGCAGCGCTCCTGTCCCGGCCAGGACCGCAGAGGAGCTGCCGACAAACCTCCTGCTGGTGCGGCTCCTGGAGCGGCTCAACGGTCCATCGGGCCCCAGCAAGAACACACAGAAATCCCGCTATGCAGTGCCCGTGTCCCGGGAGAGCTTAACAGCCAGGGACGATAAGCAGTACCAGGAAAGTCCAAACAGAGAGAAGCAGGGGAACAATGAGGTGAGTAAGGCCTCAGCCCAGTCATCTACAGCCATATGAGAAACAAAGTGGAACTGTAAAAACTAATATGTGAAACCCAAACTCAAGTGTTGCACATCACTACTGACAAGTATAGGTATTTGTTATTAACACTACACTATACAGGCTGAAGGGTTTTACACAGTAGTAAAAATGCAAGTGTTTGCCCTTTCACTTGTACTACCTAACTTTTGAACTTTGGGGATTTTTAATATGATGGAATATCAATCTTGGATGTAGATAAGATCCTTTATGCAAATTATAGAAAATACTATAATTATCAAGTGATGGGGAAACAACAGATAGCACTTTATGCCGTTAATCTATAGAAGTGCTGCTGAGTGATACACCCACACACATGCAGGGCAACAGGAGGGAAAAACCAACCAGATGATAATATGTGTGTCAACTACATGGAGAGCTGTGGATTACTGCTCAGTTATATTTCCAACAGTAGCTAAGCGATATTTTTCGACCATACATACCATACATCTGAAAGTTTGTGGCTCATGCAAAACAGAGTGCGGTCTGACTCATCGAAATGTTTCTTTTGGTGAAATGTGAGGAGCTCTATCATAACTTCATATTTCTAGCATTCTGGTGTTTATATATTAAAAATAAAGAAATAAAGCGTTTAAAGAAGAAAACATATTTCTACTTAAAGCAGTGCCCCTGAGGGGACAAATGATGGGCATTCTTAGGAAGGTGGGCCAAGCCGTAGAACAAGTTGGGGAAAAAATGTTCTAAATGCCAGAAAGTGAAGTAAAGTGCACATACATACAGCTAGATCCATAAGCATTTTTGGACAATTATACACTTTTTGCCCCTGCACATCACCACAGTGGATCTGAAATCAAACAATCATCATGTGACTAAAGTTCAGACTTTTAGCTGAAAAGTCGGTGAAATTAATCAGTTAATGCAATGCTTTTGCAAAACCCTTTTAATTAATGCTGAAAGTCTGCTGTTTTCTGTGGTGGTGGTGGTAAAGTTAGAAAATCTGTGTTTTCCCACTTTATGAACCTAATTGGACCTCCAACTTTGGCTCTCTGGCAGTGATGCAGACTTTTGGGTGCCACCAGAAAAAATTGGACGACAGTTTTATTTGTGTGCAAAATGAAAAACAAAAAACAAATTCAGCATGCAGATTTAGAGCTTGCCATAGGCAGAAGAAGATGATGAAGAGGGAATTATACAAAGCCCAGTGAACTGACTCTTTCTTATGCATTTTTTTTTAAAATATATTATATATTATATGCATTATATGCATTATATATTATATGCATCTCTGCAAAGACTTTACAGTCCACAAATCTGCGTTCTCACATGTGCGAGCTAAAAAAGAAGAGTTCAGTATTCGACTTGAAACCTGATTTGAGTTCAGTCACAGTTCAGAAAGCTGAGCCTGTTTCGTTAAACCGAGTTAGTGATCATTTTGGCTTCTTCCGAATGCTGTCATGGATACAGTATGTGTCAGTCTGATTAACTGTAACCCGATGCTACGATGATTGGCCGTAAAGTGGATGTAAACACTTTATCTACAGACTTGATACAAAATCCCCAAACCATCAATTCAAATTACACATATGACATTTTCCACTGGTAATAATCAGTGAAGCTCAGGGTGTAGCCTGCATTAGTTACAGAAACCACAAGGAGACTTGTGAAATTGTTACTTTAAGTATGACTTGAAGTCCATATTAATCAGATTTTGTGCCCTCTCAGGCAGCGTAAACGCTTTTGTGCCGTTTTCAAAAAAGTCCAAACTGAAGTGTAAACTTGATACAATCTTGAAAGGGGGGAAAAAAAGAAAAAAGAAAGGATGTGTCATATAAAAGTCATCTTCATATCTCAGTGGTGCATCAGTGCCGGTTCAGCGCAAAATTGTTTTGTCATCCCACAATTGAACTTGTATTACAAGATGAAGCACAAATTAAATGCAGAGTGTTTGTGAAGCAGGCACACCAACTGTCACTTATTTTCTTAAAATGTGTCAGAGCCGGGGATTTTTACAGATGTTTTTCCATCACGTTAACCACAAAAAAGTAGCTGTTCCCAAAAAAGAATCATGTTTAAATGAAATTGCAGAGTGTGGGATCTTTAAAACCTTACATTAAAAGAAAGAAATTAAAAGAAATCTTAATTATTTAAACATAAAGCAGCTGATATTTGACTTTCTTCCACACTTTAGGCTGCTCACAGAGCATCAGTGTATAGCCACAGAGGTGATCTGTCAGGAGAGCTGTTCCTCTCGGCTGGTAACGCTATCACACCAAAACACAAAGGGGATGACAACTGGCACACCGGCGACAGTAGCAGTGCGTCTGTCAGTGCTCAGCAGGCCGTCAGCCAGACACCTCAGCTGCAGCCCCTCCAGCAGCTCCAAGCACCAGCTCTGTGCAGAGCACTGTGTGACTTTAAACCAGAAGAAATGAATCTGGAAGACAGCAGATATTTTCTCAGCTTCCTCAAGGTGAGCCACTCAGACTGCTGAGTTAGTGCAGCAGGGCAATATAGTGTTCATGGGGTCAATGTGTGTGCACAGTTTTAAACCTTTTAAATAGCATCGGTTTTACTTCAGTGAACCTCTAGAGTGGAAAAAGTATATAGGTTCCTCTGCAAAAAATATGCTATAAGCCTCGTTTTTAGAAATTCAGTTATCGCACATGCACTGAAGTTTACAGACCACCATGGCAGTACAAATGCCCCAGACTTCACGTATTTATTGTGGCTAAAAAGCACCTGTATTTTATTTCTTTATGATTTCAGTAAGCTCCCCAGTAATGTGAAAAAGACAGTTTTCAAAGGGGTCTGTGCAGTCGGTAATGCTTCCATAGGAATTAAGGGCCAGATTTACTAAACGGGGCAAAGTAGCGTTTGAGCTCGATCCCCAGACAGCGCTGATAGGTGTTTGCTATTTTCTAAACACAGGCACGGTTGATTCATTTCAATATCAACTGGTAAAAATGAGACATGCTTTAAATATCTGCAGAATTAGCAGTAAATTGTGTGTCGCAAATATCAGTAAATGTTTTTGTGCTTGATTTAAATATTCTCCTTCTTACGTTTTGCACCTTATGAGGTCCCCTTGCGACCCACATGTTTAACAGCGTCAGTCGCAAATCTGTTACTGCGCTCTCCCTGTAAACACCTTTTTTACACCAAAACCCAGTTTATGGAGCAACATATTAGTAAATCTGGTCCAGAGCGTGTAAGCAGCAGCCATTTGCTGATAGTCAAATGCTCTTTATTCATTGATAGTCTGATATATTCAGGTGTGTGTTTAACAGAAAGTCCTTTCCAGGACTTTACACCCAAGGGAAACAACTAAAAAAAAAAAACCCAAGAGCTAAATCTCAGATTCCACAATGCAATTAGGAAAAGACTGAACAAGTTAGGCTCATTTGGTGGGGTTGTCAGAAGGACACCACCAAACAGTTGAGGTTTGCAAAGTTGCTTCTGAACAAAGCATAAGACTTTATGCTTTGTTCAGAAGACCAGTGTGCGGATGTTTGGTCATAATGCACAGGACCATGTTTGGAAACCAAACACAACATATCAACACAAACACCTCATACCAGCTGTCAAGATGATGGTGGAGAGATAATGTGAGGCCATGTGGCTGACAGCTAAAGCTTGGCTGAAAATGGGACAGTACAGCAGCAAATCTACAACAAAGTGAAGCTGTGCATAAACAAAAAGTGGACCAAAACTCCTCCACAATGATCTGAGACACTGATAAAGTCATACAGTCATAGTTTTAGCTGCTGGTTTGACTACTTGCTTCAGTTTGGATTTCATAGATGCATAAAGGACAGATCTGTCAGTTAGCCGTCAGCTAGGATGTTAGAAGCCTTTCAACTGGTGTATTGACTTATCTTCTGTCATGGCAGGGAAACAGCAGTTTTGAATTGATGCTTAACCCCTTGAACTTAATCCTGCTTTCTTTTATATTAAACCTGAGTTTGTAGCAATCTGTGAATACAAAGAGCGCAGGAAGTCCCCAGCAAAGACTGCTACATAAGGATCACCGCTTTTGTTCTTTTCACTGTTTTCAGAGACTGAAAACTGAGACTTGTGGAAACGGAGGCTCAGACCTCCGTTGCAGCAGTTCTTACTTACCCTAGATTTCTGAGGCAGTTATATAAGGGCCTGAGTACTTTTGTGCCCTCCATTAAAGCGCCCTCGACCGAGCCTCTTTTTTTTTTTTTTTTCTTTTCAATGCAGGTGGTCAAATGTTTTTTTTTAGAGGCTGGCCACAGAAAAGGACAAGGCCTGCAGACACAAAGGGAGCTTATGTCACATGTTAGTGGAGAAACACAGAGTTTCCAGCTGAGTGCTCAGTCTCTAGGGCGAGTGCACTCTGTTAAATCCATCTTGTGTCCCGTCTTGTGTGTGGTTTTCAGTCTATCTGTTATTTATTTTGTGCTTCATACAGGGAGACATTCTTACTTTCATCAGGCGGGTGGATGAAAACTGGATCGAGGCCAAGCTGGGGGAGAAAGTGGGATTCTGCCCTGAGCAGTTTACAGAGGTGAGTTTCTTTTCTTCCTTGGATGTGAGTTGTGACCTTTTCAGCGCGATCGAGGTCGACACCTGCCGTTAGCCACTTTTCGCCGGTAGTTTAATCAATTGAACTGCAGATGTCGTCGCCGGATGCCATTAATTCCAGGTCACTGCCGGGACGCTAACTTGCTTTTCATTCAAATCTCTGATTTGTCAGTAAATGTCACTCCTAAAGTGCTGAGGCAGAAAGCTAATCTGCGAAGCCCTGCTGTGTCTGCAGCTGCTCATTAGTTTGTGACTATGTGGCTTACTCAGGGTTGTGGGGCTTGCTTAGCTGGCTGACTGTCATTTGTTTTCCTCTGCACTTTCTGCCTCCAGGAATTAACTTCACCCATGCTGGAGGGGGGGCTGTGTTTGTTCATTCAGTCGTTGGGGTCAATGCCTCATTCACTTCCTGTTTACTTTCCTAACTTGTCATCTGCTTTGCTGTGATTTCCTCACTAATATACCCCCTCTTCTTATTAGTCCTCTCTTTAATGCATGCATACTTTTATCTCCCACTCACCCATGTCTTCTCCTCGAGCCCTGCTTCAGTGATGCTCTTTATCTTTCTCCTTTCCACTTTCCTCCTCTCCTTTCTGAGCCAGCATCTTCCTGTGTCGTGCAGCCAGGCGTAAAGACACAGTAATGCTTTCTCTGCTTGGGTGGCATAACAGCACATCACTGTGGAGAGTGAAAGCATTAACCCTGCCAATGCCTGTCTGCCTGCCTGTCTGTCTGCGCAGCTCATTTCTCAGCAGTATCCAACCCTTCCCGGCTTATTGGCTGGTACTTATCACGCTCTCTGCTGCCTGCCTGTCCAACAAGTTGTAGGGGTGAGTCTAGCGGTGATAAGTGGGTGTATTTAGACAGATTTTTAGCTGATCAGCAGGAGCAGAGGTTGGCAGGCGCAGGTTAGAGCAAGTTTGAGAGGAATTGTTTTTCTTGACTGAGGATTTTCCTGTGTTACGTTTCTTACTGTGGTTCGTTTTTATGCATTCATCCTATTCCAGCCAAACTCTGTGGCTGCCAAACTGCTGAAGGGAAAGAGTCGGAGGGGGGGGGATCTAGCAGAATTTCACCATCAGACTTCGAGCGGGGGCAAAGACAAGGCCACTGACACATCCGGTAGGACTGCCCATTACGGAGTCCCTCAAGCCGCCCTCAAGACGCCCGTCATCAGCACGTTGCCCCTCTCCAACCAACGGAAACAGCCCGTAGCCGGAGGAAACAACTTTTATCAGACAGGAGACAACAACAACACCTTCAACAGCTACAACCGTCAGGGTCAGACGCAGCGCCTCTCTGTGCCCACTACCACTCGGGGCCACTCTCATTCTTCCAGAGTGAACTCTCAGCGAAGACGCCGCTCTGATTCGCACAGACACCTGTTACAAGTGAGTCACATAACTCTCTTATTATTTATTTATTCTTTTCTCCACCTCTGCTCTAATCTTTTAATTAAAGCTGGGTTTGGCTTTGCTCGCAGTGATTTGCTATAACAGAAAACATGCTGTTGGCAAAAAGGTGAAATGGTTTTATGTGCGATAATAAGAGGTGTTTATTTGAGTCACTGATCAAGTTGGTCTCTGGTTAAGGGAGGGAACCGTGACACTGTAAGCTGCAGGAATGAGTGAGAAAGAGAGATCGCCCTTGTGATTAAGTGGTTCTCATTAAGACGAGACACGTGTGGGAAAGGGAAACAAAAGAAGTGAGGAGTGGAGGTGAGTGGACCGTAACTTTTGAGAGGTCTTTAATCATGAGTCCTGGGACAAAAGCCAGGATTTCCCATCTGAGAAGAATTATAGTTCCACAGGGTGGGTTTTCTTTTTTTCTCCATCTCAGGGACATGTGGTTTGTGATGTTGTGCGAGTTTGAATCCTCACAGGGAGAACTGTCAAGCAGGAGAGAAAAGAGGAAATCTCTTCTGATTTGATGGGATTGTTAAAGTGACTCATTAAGTTATTTTTTTTAACTCTGAGGGAGCACAGAAGAAAGCAGGTCAATTTTACTGTCTAAATTAATTATTACCTCTAGAAGACTAGAAATCATTAACTAAGTCATTAGATTTTTGCTGTTTTATTGTTTAGTGAGGCTGGAGTTTGGGAATGTTAGTGTTTCAGGCTATCGGGTTCATAGCTTTTCCAGCACTAACATGATATCGGCTGCATACTTTATGAAGAATGTGTAGCAATATCAGGGCGAGGCATGATTGGTAAACATCACATAGCTTTAACCAAGACAAGAAGAGTTCATTTCTGAGAAAGCTTGTGATAAAACTTACTCGGGAAATGACCCAAAAGCTCCTATAAATCATTAGCACGTTGGAGTAAATAACCGGACATAGTGCTGTTGTTTCACATTAGAAAACAGCGGTGATGTGGCACCAAGTCACGGGGCCTAAGAGTACAGTGCTGGCATGAAAGCCTCTGGAAGGCTTAATAATGTAACGCGCTGCCAAATTCCCTGCCCTTCAAAATAGCCGATTTCCTTTGATTCCTTTCAAACGTCTCGGCTCTGCCCTGCAATTACACATGTCAGAGCGCAGAAATGCTCAACCTCATGCAGGTTGGAGAGAAACAGGAGAGGAAGGGAGGCGGAGGGGAACGAGAAGAAATGAGGAAACGGGGCAGTAAGGCAGGAAGAGGAAAAGCTGAGCGTCCGAGAAAATGGTATGGAGCGAGGGAGAGAAACGCGACACATTTTCAGGCTGCGAAAACAAAAAACACATGAAGTGGGAAGAAGGAGGAGGAAAAAATGAGAAATAGATGTGGAGAGTGGGAGGCTCAGAGAGTCCCTCAGTGTGTCTGCTTATCGCTCTCATGCTGATGATGATGATGAGTCACTAGTGAAGTTGCTTACATAACAGACCCCTCTCCCTCTCTGCCCTTCCTTCAAGCTCCTTCCTCTTCACTAAGCAGGTAACGCTCCCTTTCACATCAGCGAGCCTGTAATGGCAGACGAGCCACACACTCCCCCCTTTTTAAGGGAGCGGAGGGCCTGTGTCCCTAAAGCTGAGGCTGAGCTCTCCAGTGACCAAGACGGCATGTTTGTGCTATTCTTGGTGCCGCTTCCCATCGGCTCTTACCTCTGACTCTTGCCTGTTTCTTTTTTTTATTTTGCAGCTTCCCTCCCACTGTGGATGAAATAATGCATATTAGTGTGAATATCTGCACAGTTATGTAAGAGCAAACTTTAGGATTAATTTAAAAAAAAAAAGTTCACTCTCCTATCATACTTCACCAGAATATCTGACAACATTGTAATTGTTATCAGCGGTTATGCAGTCACCCTGCAAAGTGACTGCATAAAAGAGCAGAAATAATTAGGCTGAGTTATTTATACGGCAGTTTTCAAGTGCAGAGTCACAAAGTGCTTCCGAAAACAGAAAACATAGATTTAAAAGTAAAAACAAGATAAGTGGCAGACGGTTCTCTTCAAACCTCAAGCTTAATCGGAGATGGAAGACAGAAGATAGACAGATAAAAGTTTAGGTAAACACAGATCAGGAGAGCTTTGAGGCTTTGTGTTTTTGTACGACTGCAGTCGATCTGTAATCTAGTTCAGTGTTTGACTGTGCAGAGGTACAAAACAGGAAACCTGAATTAAATTCAGATTTTGATTAGTCACACATGATGGATTGTAGGTGACCTGGTCAAAAGCTTAGTGGCATTTTAGGGAAAGTAGATTGTTAAGCTAATGCAGCAAGGAGGGTATTACCTTAGTTTAGATGAAGTTACATGAAAGTATGAATTATTATTTTAAATCTTCATTTTGACACAAATGCGTTTTAGCTTCTTACATTTACAGCTTTGCTTCTACTGTTATTATTCATTCAAGGAAATGAAGGAGATCTGAATATATAGGGTGGGCCATTTATATGGATACATCGTAATAACATAGGAATGGTTGGTGATATTAAAGTCCTGTTTGTGGCACATTAGTATATGTGAGGGGGCAAACTCCTCAAGATGGGTGGTGGCCATTTAGAAGTC